ATTTATTTATTTATTTATTTCAAAACATTAATGGGCTTCCATCCTGGAGTGACTTTAAGACCTGCGTCACGTAATTCATTGGAACACTCCCCAAAATAAATGATGACCTTTAACACTGGGACAAATCTTTACCAATTCAGCCCTGCCGGAACTCAATGGCATTTCCATGGCATGGAAAGTTACTTTTACAAAAGTGGGAGGGCTGATATGAAAATATCATAAAACGTAGCAAATTCTGCTCAACATTGTGCTAAAAAAATGTTCTCAAAAAGAAAGGCAACTTGCAATCCGACCAGGATAATTTGGGTGTTGGGACTTCTAAACCCACAGGCTACTCTCCCCCCCCCCATTTGAAAAGTAACTAAAAAAACACTGTTACCCATTTTTCCTATCAGTCACTGAAATGCAGAAATGTAACATAGCTACACACTGGCTCCCTGCAACTCTCCAAACCATGTTACTTGTAGAGGTATTAAGAATACCGGCTTAATTGCTTGTTCTTGACCATTTATGCTGCTTCCACTTGACAAGGCACCTTGACCAGGATCCTTAGCAGGTGAAAATAGGATCAAGAATTTTTTTTCTTATTACAATTTCCATCCTTTCCTCTTGTCAAGCAAAGGATGGAAACATACACAGCAAACATACATCAGCCAGCTTATAGTGTTAAAAAAAAGGCAAGCAACCTCATCCAGGGCTTCTAACCATGTAAAGCCAATGCAACAAAGCAGCTACGTACCTCCTTATTGTTTAATTTGAGAAGCAGATGTTGCAGCATTGTTTAGATTATGTGTACCATTTTGCTTAAATTGCACAAAAGTTCTTTTTATTCTCTTCTCTCATTGAGAACACCGCAAAAATAACTCTCTCTCTTGCACATCATTGAACATGCATTTTGCAGCTGCTCACCAAAAAGCAAGTTAAGTGTGCTGCTTATATACTGCCCCAGACCGCTTAAAACACTCTCTGGGCAGTTTAGGATTTAATTATGCCCCAGCGAGCTGGGAACGCAATTTACCAACTTTGGAAGGATGAGAGGCTAAGTCAACTTTTGATGTATTCTCGAAGGCTTTCACGGCCGGGATCTGATGGTTGTTGTGGGTTTTTCGGGCTCTTTGGCCATGTTCTGAAGGTTGTTCTTGAAGACGCCGGCCACAGAGACTGGCGAAACATCAGGAAGAACACAGCCAAAGAGCCCGAAAAACCCACAACAAAGTCCCTGGACAGTCACTGCTTCCCAAACTCTAGTCATGCTTTCTGTTAAGACCACTTGGTACAGAATTAAACTCACACCAGCTCCGAAACATTTTATACCCCCAGGCTATGCTTCTCTTTCCCACACCTCCCAACACCCAAGATCCAGGAACTCTACAGAGCCCAAATCTCTCACCAGCTAAAAACAGGGATAAACAAGATTTTCGACATCCAGGGCTGCCCCAGCTACTGGCAGTCCTTGTCCACATAATGCTCCATCCACTTTGAGGAGAAGGGGAAATTTGGGTTGGGTTAGGAGCTTATATTTTTACCCATCCAGATGCCTGCCATTATCTCCCTTTCTTTGCCAGTGGTGACTAGGGTTCACAATGCCTCACTGTTGGGTGTGTGTGTGTGTTCCTTCCAAGCTCTGAGCCATTGTGAGGTGTGAAAGACATGTCATGTAAGCGGATTCTTCTGAAATCAATCTTACCTCCCTCCCTTGATCTATGCCTGCTGGCTTTGGGACGTGCAGGTAAGCAAAACAGAACAACCTAGAATTTAAACATACAAACGTGAAGGCCATTTTGCTGTTTGCCATGAGAGCGTTCCGTGTCTAGTCGCGCTGGCCACGTGACCATGGAAACGGTCTTTGTGGTGGCGCTGTGGGCTAAACCACAGAAGCCTCTGTGCTGTAAGGTCAGAAGACCAGCAGTCATAAGATCGAATCCATGCGACGGAGTGAGCTCCCGTCGCTTGTCCCAGCTCCTGCCAACCTAGTGGTTCGAAAGCATGCAAATGTGAGTAGATAAATAGGGACCACCTCGGTGGGAAGGTAACAGCGTTCCGTGTCTAAGTCGCATTGGCCATGTGACCACGGAAGATTGTCTTCGGACAAAACGCTGGCTCTATGGCTTGAAAAACGGGATGAGCACTGCCCCCTAGAGTCGAACACGACTGGACAAAAATTGTCAAGGGGAACCTTTACCTTTACCTATGAGAGCTGAACCTTCTGTATTAAAGTTAACGACCTTCATCCACAGTTCTGGGGGCTTTTTTGATTAAAATGATCTCGCTAATGGCTCATAATGGCCCATGCAAGATATTCTGCATTATAGCAGGAATGGCTTGAAACGGTACACCCCAAAAAAAATCAATTTCTCACCTAGGGGCAGTGAGGACTGCAGCTAGATTCAGCCAGAACATGGAATTCAGATGCTGCCATAGTACTTAATAATCAAGGACCCTAGGACCTGAACCCTACAAGCCATGGTTCCCTAATACTAGTGGTTCCCAGCCCTTTTTAAAAGTTGTGACCCCCTTTTATATTAGACAGGTAACCCGTGGCCTCCTATTCACATTTGCAAAAAATGGCCGTGTTGCTTTCTGCTGCTCCTCACCCACCTGCTGCTCTTGCTAATGACTCTGGCGACCATCACTTCAAATCTGTGGAAGGAACAATTTGGGGGAAGGTTAAAGGTAAGGAGAAGAGAAGGCAACGGACTTCAGAGATGAGCCAAAGGTGCAAGTACATGGTGGTACCCAAGCAACACGGTGAGAGGATCCCCCTTAGAAACTGACGGAAAGCTTCCCTTGTACCTGTTGAAGAATAACGGGGCTGTTTATTTTTGTGTCCCCCTCATCGGGATTTCTTGTGTGAGATTTCTTCCCCCCCCCTTTTTTTTTTTCTTTTTCCTGCCCTTCTTTAGCCTCTCCAGTGACATGTCACAGTTTAAATCTCTTTCTTGTGGAAGTGGCTGTTTTTAAAAGTTGTGACCCCCTTTTATATTAGACAGGTAACCCGTGGCCTCCTATTCACATTTGCAAAAAATGGCCGTGTTGCTTTCTGCTGCTCCTCACCCACCTGCTGCTCTTGCTAATGACTCTGGCGACCATCACTTCAAATCTGTGGAAGGAACAATTTGGGGGAAGGTTAAAGGTAAGGAGAAGAGAAGGCAACGGACTTCAGAGATGAGCCAAAGGTGCAAGTACATGGTGGTACCCAAGCAACACGGTGAGAGGATCCCCCTTAGAAACTGACGGAAAGCTTCCCTTGTACCTGTTGAAGAATAACGGGGCTGTTTATTTTTGTGTCCCCCTCATCGGGATTTCTTGTGTGAGATTTCTTCCTCCCCCCCTTTTTTTCTTTTTCCTGCCCTTCTTTAGCCTCTCCAGTGACACGTCACAGTTTAAATCTCTTTCTTGTGGAAGTGGCTGCAATTTTATCTTTACAACAGATATATTAAAAAATAGTCCAGGTGATTCCTTCTCAGAATGCAGAAGCGTCTTTCTCCCCTCCAAGACCTCCTGTCATATATTCACAGACATACTACAATATCCTACTCTGAAAGGTCAAGGAAGAAATTATTTGACAAGGCGTACAATGCATATATTGTGGGATGTGGTGGCACTGCGGATTAAACCGCGGAAGCCTCTGTGCTGCAAGGTCAGAAGACCGGCTGTCGTAAGATCGAATCCACGCAACGGAGGGAGCTCCCTTCGCTTGTCCCAGCTCCTGCCAACTTAGCAGTTCAAAAGCATGCAAATCTAAGTAGATAAATAGGTACCACCACGATGGGAAGGTAACAGTGTTCCATGTCTAGTTGTGCTGGCCACGTGACCAGGGAAACTGTCTACGGACCAATGCTGGCTCTACGGCTTGGAAAGGGGGATGAGCACCATGCCCTAAAGTCGGACACGATTGGAATAAATGTCAAGGGGAACCTTTACCTTTTACAGCGCATATAAGGCAACCCGCAACTTGACAGAAAACACTTCACAACCCCCTTGGGCGTCATGAGCCTCCAATTGGGAAATACTGTTCTATACCAATGCAGGTAAAAAATGAGATTGTTTCCTGAGAGAGAAACAAAGTTTATTGATGTGTGTGGTTGAATAATCACTATAAATGGATGATCTCTTCCTTCCTTCCAGTGCTCCTTGCTGTCTTCTATTGTTTGCAAGAGAACCTGTTTTTCAGCACGAACTGCAAGCACTCAGCCAGAGGTGTGCTTATTGAAACAAGATACCCAGCCTTTATTGGCTTGAACTGGATTCAAATTGGAATATATCCAAGGAGAGTGAAATAGGTGACTTCCTGTTTTCTACACTGGAATAAGTAAGGATCATGACCTCACATGAAACTGGTCACCCATCTACAGGGTAGGAGACAGTCCCTAAAACATGTACCAGCAATAGGTAAGAAAATGGACATCTGTGTTTATTTTATTAATTCTAGTCTTGTATATTTCAAATTGGCCAGTATCCCAGGATGAAACATTTGTGATCCTCTGCAGATGGGTGTACGCCAAAGACCGACATAGAACCCGGTGCAAAAAAGGGTCTTTTAGATCAGTGGTTCCCCAACCTTGGGCCTCCAGATGTTCTTGGACTTCAACTCCCAGAAATCCTGGCCAGCAGAGGTGGTGGTGAAGGCTTCTGGGAATTGTAGTCCAAGAACATCTGGAGGCCCAAGGTTGGGGACCACTGTAATGATTACTGAGGAATGGAAGATAAAACCTTTTAGAAAATGATGATGTTTTAAAAAATGAGCACAGAAGCCATTCATCTCTGCACCTTTCTATGGGATATGGAAAGGAAGGTCTCAATCCAGTATAAAGTTGGAACATCCCTGGAGGTGGACAGAGGAGGACCTCAACCAAATTACGACTGAAAGATGTGTGACCCTCCTAGAAAAAAGCAATGGTGTTTTTTATTTCATCAGCAGCTGTGACAGGAGGAGGTAATGCCTCTACTGATCATCTCTGCAGTGGATGTGCTTGATATTTCTTTTTGATATTTCTTCTTCAGGGCAGGCGAAAAAGTCCAGCGGTGCTTGTTCTAAACTTGAAAGCTGACAGTATCCTAAAGTGGGATGATCTTCCCCATGGCTACCTAGAACAAAGAGACACTAAGCATCAGATCATGAAAAACACATAGGTCCTTCCTTATATCTCACTCTCCCTATTTCAGGGGTCTGGAAAGCTGCTTTTCTAACCACCTTGAGGCCACTCTTCTTGGAAAGTCAAGGTCAAACCCGAGTTTTTCTGCCAGGGAACCTCCTTAAAGTCAAGTCACTGGTCTCGTACCAAGGTCCAAATTTAGAAACTGAATGTAGGACACTCTGGCTTTCAACGTTCATGGCTTGAGATCTTCTACAGTAGAAGATTAAGGGCAAAATGAAGAAACCATGTTTGATTGCTCCTTGGCATTGAAATAAAAGAAGAACTCACCACAAGAAGAAATCTAGTACATCAGGGGGAAAGAGGCACAATATCCTTTTCCTGTTGAGCTGGGTTGCTTCCAGAATGTGAGCTGTTAGGGCTATGCAATGCTTCCTCTTTTGCTGTATCTTGCCTGCAAAGTCACAATTGAATTTAGTGGTTGTATGTATGTATGTATGTATGTATGTATGTATGTATGTATGTATGTATGTATGGATGGATGGATGGATGGATGGATGGATGGATGGAGGCAGGCAGGCAGGCAGGCAGGCAGGCAGGCAGGCAGGCAGGCAGGCAGGCAGGCAGGCAGGCAGGCAGGCAGGCAGGCATGTACATATGCATGCATATAGGCATGCATGCATGCATTCAATCTATCTCCTTTGAATTCCTTAATTCACAAGGAATTACTCTTTTTGTAGTCTTAGCATCCTGAAACACAAGACACTGTGACTATGGTGGATTGGGTTGGGTGGAATTCTGGGAGTTACAATCCAAGAAAGTAACTTTACTTCGGTAGTTTAGTTTCTCTGGCTGCAGAACCAGAGGTTGCCTCTCTGACCTGGGCTGGACTTGATGATCTATAGAGTCCCTTCCAGCTCTGTAGTTCTAAGATTTTCAAAGCTCTGGTAATAAGAGTCTGGTTATACAATGGGGTGAATTCTCCAGAGTGACAGGCCAGCCTGAAAGAGTGGTTCCAGGCCATGGATTCAGCAGTCAGGCTGGGACTGCAGCTCAGAGGTATTGTAATGGTGGTAGAAGGTGGTGAGATGTTGATGCTTGCAGGCCCCATGTCAAGACCTTGCCCACTCCTTACAACATGGGAATTAGAGGACCAGAACAGATCATTCAGTCCTCAAAACGCAAAGGAGATGCACTAGCGGTACTTACGTGGATGATGCTCTGAAGTGTCGGTAATAAACCAATCCTCCTGTGAGAATCAACCCAAGAAGACATCCAAGGGTAATTCCTGGAAAAATACTCCAAGGGAAATGATGAACTTTTGTACTTTTTGGTTCTTCTTGATTTTCTAGAAGGCGAGGAAGACAGAAAGAAAGTCCATAAGTATGAATCACCAAGTGGTGGTCCAGGTTTTCGAAGCTTTCCTAGGCATGGGGTAAATATGGAAAAGACTCAAAAGTTGGGGAGGACTGGTAGCATTTCTCTAAAAGGAATTAAACTTTTTGAAAGAGCAGGTTGGCTTATTTTTATTTTTATGGAAGGCAGCCGAGCTTTGATCACTATCTGTTTCTCCAATCACATGGCTAGGGACAGAGCATGCAAGTCGGAAGAACTTGAACCCACCCACTCCAAACAAGGGCATGAGCTGCAGATGATGGGAGCCATAGTGGCACACCAGCAATACTGTAGCTTGAAACAGTGGCTGAAGCTACGGTCTGATGGGACAAGAAGCGTTCCTGGATACCAACAGGAGTTCTCAAACTGTTCATCATCCCACTCTTGTTTTTGATTTTTGAGAACGTAATGTCTCTCCCTACCTCTTCTTTGCCATCATTTAGCCCACTTTTAGTTATATGTATATTTAACACTCCTGATAAAATTAACACTCCTGATAAAATTAGTTACAGTGGTGCCTCGTTAGACAATGATAATCCGTTCCACTGAAATCGCTGTTTAGCGAAATCATTGTCTAGTGAAAAGNACACTCCTGATAAAATTAGTTATATGTATATTTAACACTCCTGTTTAAAAAAAACTACACACCCACAATCTCACCCACACAAACTTGGGATAAATGAACAGTTGACTGTTGAACCTAATTTAGATTGAGTTGTAATAGGATATTTTTTAAAATGAAATAAAAAATTTGGACTATAGTCCCATCTCACACCTAAATGTGGCTCACCTAGGAGAAAGGTCCAGATATGAGGCCTAGCTTAACCTAAGTTTCTTGTTCCTAGAAATCACTGTTTTGCGAATCGCTATAGTGATCGCAAAAAGTCAATGTCTAGCGAAAAACTGTCATGTGGGGTAACTGTCTAGCGAGGCACCACTGTATATATACATTTAACACTCCTGATTAAAAAAAACCACACCCACACAAACTTGGGATAAGTGAACAGGTGACTGTTGAACCTAATTTAGATTTAGTTGTAATGGGATATTTTTAAAAATGAAATAAAAAATTTGGACTATAGTCCCATAATTTCCCACACCTAAGTGTGGCTCACCTAGGAGAAAGGCCCAGATTTGAGGCCTAGCTTAACCTAAGTTTCTTGTTCCTGCTCAAGGGCTAGCTGAGAGCTTCCTTTCTAAACAGGAAACTAGGCCTAGCTAGGCCTCAAAGCCTTCCGGTTTAGGCCTTTCACCCTGGTGAGCCAAATTTTGTAGTCTCCAAGGTGCCTGTCTGTCAGGCAGAACTCTCAAAGTAGACAATGATGGGATTCGTAGTTCAAAAATATGAAAATCCTGTCCTTAGGGCTTAGTGCCTTTGATGCCTACTATCAAGTTTGGACTAAAAAGTGGAGTAGATGCTGTAGCTCTCTGACATCAGGGCAGCAGCTTGCACTGGCTGGAGCTGATGTGAATTATGAACAAATGCATGTGAAGGGCATGAGATTGCCTATTTACCCTTCCCACTAGTCTGATAGGATAGAATAGGACGAGTATAACATTTCCTCCTCACCAGTTGAGACTGATAAGAATATATGTCCTTCTTGATGTTCATCAGATCCTCTGAGTTTATTCTTTAACACAGTATAGTTTCCGCTGTCTTCAGCCATCAGCTGACAGATGTGCATCGAGCAGCCTTCTCCTGGAGTCTCTCGTCCAGTGGAGGCAGGTCCGTCTCGTTGTATAAAATGGGGAGCAGGAAAATAAGTGAAAATA